TTTCTCAGAAATTAGATATTTTCCCGCGGTAAAAAGTATCCTATATGTTGACCCGGATAACCAGCTAACATCATACCAAATTTCATCAAAATCTGTCCAGTGGTTTTCTCGTGATGCGGTAACAGACAGACAGACAAAAAGTCTAAAAACTATAGATTCGGACTCTGTATCGATAATAATGTCTATTTCAATTCGATTTTCCAAAAAATATTTGATGTACAGATTCGGCTTAGTTACAATTTTATTATATACTAGCATTGCCCGCGGCTCCGCCCGCGTTCAGATGACCAAAAACTAAATTCTTAGGTGTTACATATTAGTATACTCTTACATTGCAGTTTTTGTATTTTTCCTCAGAAATAAGATATTTTCCCGCGGTAAAAAGTATCCTAGGATCGCGCGCTACATCGCCCGGTTTATATAGCTTGAGCAGGCGGTCGAGCGATGCGGGGCAGAGGGGATGGACTCGCCGTAGGCATCTCAATGCTCGCCAAGCATTAAAAATGTTTCGCTACTAATTACTTCTAACAACGATATCTCAAAAACTATTCATCTGATTGATTTAGTGTAAAGAGCAATTTTAATCTGCATTAAATGACTAAGCTAACTAAAATATTCATTTGGATAAGGATTAATACCGAACTAAAGAAAATAACTTTGAAAATAACGTAATGTTTTTAATTAAAAATGTTAACATAAAAGTGGTTATTGTAAGTCAACCGTAAGAGATAGAGATATGCTATCGCGGACTTTTTTGTAGCATTTTTATAGATTTTGAATTCTCTAGTACATTACTTAACTGTATCTTTGCTAGTTTACGCGGCGTTCGCGTGGAAAGTTCCCATTTGGCGAGATTTTTTGCGACCTCTTCAACATTTGTCGCCGTATTTCAGCTAATTTACATAAAAGCATAATAAATTATATACCTAAACCTTCCTCAAGAATTACTCTTTCTATTGTTGAAAACCGTATAAAAATCCGTTCAGTAGTTTTCGAGTTTATCGCGTACAGACAGACAGGAGGACAGACAGGAGGACAGAAAGACGCGGCCGGGGGACTTATTTTTATAATAAGTATAGATATAGACTTTAATGTATATGTTTATGAACTCACATTTAATTACTTAAACGTCTGCCGATACTCAGATTTTCTTAGTTAAAATATTATAATATGGAAAAAATATTGATACTAACAATTTATACGAAATGTTTGTTTTCTCCTGTATTTTTTTTATTTTTTATAGATGACCCTGTCTGAAATTGCTGAAGACGTGATCAGTGGGGAAATTCTAACAGTCGATCTTGAATTTCGTAACGTCGGTCCAGTTCCGATGCAAAACTTATATGTTGCTGTTTCCCATCCTGACTGTATGAGCGTCGTCAGCGCGGATGATGATAAAGATGACTTTAATGTACTTTACGAGGAGAAGTATAGAGAACAACCTGAGTATTCTGGTTTGTGATACATTTTTCTATTTGATTTACATATATACGGTATACGGTATACTCGCGCACAAAAGTACTAAGCCTTTTATTTTATTTTTCATAGCATTTCGCTCTGTTATACCCCTTCGCTGTATGGGTTATTGCTTATTTATGTTATAGCCCTACTAGCTATCATCATTTTGTACTCTATATATATGCCCTTTAATTTGTATTAAGTCAGTTCGAGAGTATCGTCGGTCGAGAGCACTAGCTCTTAATATCCCATATATATATTGTATAAATAATTAATAAAGTTATTAAAGTGTTTTCAGTGATAAATAAATCTTTTTTTTAAAAAGGGTCTTATCCAGGGACCCATAACAATTGGTGGCAGCGGTGGGATAATAATAATCCCAGGGGGTTATAATAATCACGGATACCCCAGGATTATACGAAAATTCTTGTGCCTTAAATGACCGCGAACTCTCGGCTCCGCGTAACTTCAAATAAGTGGGGAACCACCATAAGTGAAAAGTTGTGAAAATTTGTGAAAAGCTATAAAAGCTGTGAAAAGTGTTAGTGAAAATCCAGGTTGTCCACCAGAGAGTGAGACGCCTACGTCTACTGGCAGAGGACCTAGTACGTGTGCCGTGTTCGTCTCCCGTCCGGAACGACGCCAGGTTTTGAACCTGTGACCACTGAGCTGGCGGGCATACAAGGTCTGGCCTTATCTACAAGAATGCAGCTCGTCGCCACCCGCGTCGTGTTCGTGTTACTTGTGGCCCACACGTGAGTGATAGATAATATTACAATCAAAACAATTACTGGAAGTTGCGCGTTAAAGACAATATAATATATTATTATCAATTTTCTATTTTAAATAATTGTTATTCTGACGAATATTTTATTGAAACAAAAGTTATAATACTTTATACTTTATGAATATTTAATACTGATTTATTATTTTTCTGATTGTTCTGTTTATTTTTATTGATTTTATATTTTTGTAATATTTACAATATAATATTAATTTGTAACAAACTATCCAGATCGAGTGATAAAATAATTTAAAAATGGCTAAAAAAGTTGATATCCCAATAGTTCCGCTTACTGACGGAGAAAAAGCGCCTTCACCCGCCGTGTCTAAAACGGAAAAGAAATATATAAATGAAATTGATTTAAATATTCTTTTGAAATTTATTAAACCCTATGACGGATCTAGGGATACAATTAATTCTTTTCTAACAAATTGTAATAACGCATACGAACTTGCATCTGAATCACAAAAACATATATTATTTAAATACATTTTGAGTCAACTACAAGGCAAGGCTGAAATAGCAGCCTCAATAAAAGATTTTACATCTTATGACCAATTAAAAGATTTTCTAAAAACTCAATTTAGTCAAAGGAAACATTATTCTCATTTAATAAGCGAATTACAGGAATGTAGACAAACATCTGTGGAAAATGTCACACAATTTTCTATTAAAATTGAATCTATCCTATCTCAACTTTTGACAGAGATTTCTATGAATCCTACTAAAAAATTAGAGATTCCAGGCAGAACAGCTGCTATGGAGGACCTAGCCCTCCACCATTTCTTGATGGGTCTCCACCCACGCATATCGAATATAGTTAGGTGTAGATCGCCTAAAAATTTAAATGAGGCCATTAGTTTAGCTATTTCTGAGGAAAAAATTCAGAAAACATTATATAAAAAGGCGGAAAATTTTGAAAAACCTAATAAAGTAGATAAATTTACAAATAGTAATAATTTTCATAGAAATAATTATTTTAATAATGTACCCAGGCAGGTTAATCAGTATAGGTCTTTTAACCCTTTGCAGCGTTATCCTAATAGTGCGCCTACCACATTTACTCCAAGACCTCCTCAAGGTCAAGGACAAGTTAGTCAATATAATCGACTTACTAATAACTCCAGGCCTCAATTTAGTAATAAAAATTCGAGTAATCCTAATAGACCTCGTATAAATTTTGTAGAGGATGATCCTTCTTATTATGAAGAAGAAGGGAGTTTATTCCCTTATGAGGAAACGGGCTCATACGTTGAAGATAAACCCAACGAGGACGACGACTATGACTGTCAACAGCCTACTTTAAACGAGTAGTCGTCCCGTCAACGTGTCGGACGCGACAAAATCTTAAAAATGGCACGAATAAGATTTATAAAATAACAAGTAATAATAATAATAGATACTTACCCCATATTAAATTGCCAACTTCTGGCAGTTCTAGACCCTTGTCATTATTAATAGATACAGGTGCCTCAGTCTGCCTCATTAAAAGTTCAGCACTATCAAACACCCTAAAAGTGTACCCCAACAATATTTCTGTAAGAGGAATAAATTCGAAAGACGAACCTCCATTGAAAAGTTTAGGTTACGTAAACTTAAAATTAAAAATTGGTAACAACTATATATGTCATAAATTTCACGTTTTTGACGAATTACAGCTTCCATATGATGGTATTATTGGTACTGACCTTTTTATGACATATAATTGTCAAATTAATTACAATTCCAACAGCCTAGAAATAAATAACTATAAAACTTACCTTATGTTTCACGAACCTACATATATTATAAAACCTAGATCTGAAACGGTTATAGAATGCACTGTTGTAAATCCTGAAATTCAAGAAGGATTAATATTAGATAAGAAAATTTCGGATAAAATACTTATTTCAAATTGCATGGTAAGAGTGAAACCTAACAATAGAGTTAACATTACTATATTAAATATTACAGAAGAACCTATCCAAGTAAATTCTAATCTACAACTCAAATTAGAGAAAATTCCAGCACAGAATGTAAATTTAGTAAACAATTGTCAAAATACAATAGAAAGAACTGAACAAGTTCTAGAATCTCTTAGAATATCTCATCTAAATTATGAAGAGAGTGAACAACTTCTAGATATTTGCTCTCAGTACTCTGATATATTTCATTTACCTGATGACCAACTAACATATACAAATGCACTGAAACATCAAATTAAAACTAACTCCGATATTCCCATTAATACAAAATCATATAGGTTTCCACAGTGTCATAAAGATGAAGTACACAAACAAATAAATAAGATGTTAGATCAAGATATAATTCAGCCATCCGTATCACCATGGTCTTCACCAATATGGGTTGTACCAAAAAAAATTGATGCCTCTGGCGAAAGAAAATGGCGTGTAGTAATAGACTACAGAAAACTCAATGATATAACCATAGGCGAATCGTACCCCATTCCCCAAATAAATGAAATTTTAGATCAATTAGGTAATAGTAAATATTTTTCTACTCTCGACTTAGCGTCAGGTTTTCACCAAATTCAAATAGCACCAGAAGATGCCGATAAGACAGCCTTCACCGTTCCAGAAGGACACTTCCAATTTAAGAGGATGCCATTTGGGCTAAAAAACGCTCCAGCTACCTTCCAAAGACTAATGAACACCGTATTATCTGGTCTCCAAGGTATACATTGCTATGTTTATTTGGATGACATTGTCATTTATTCCTATGATTTAAATTCACATATAGAAAAGTTACAGAAAGTATTCAATAGGTTACGTCAATTCAATTTAAAATTACAACCAGACAAATGCGAGTTTCTACGTAAAGAAGTAAATTATCTAGGTCATATAATTACGGATAAAGGAGTTAGACCAAATCCTGACAAAGTTAAAGCCGTGAAAGAGTTTCCTACTCCAAAAACTCCAAAGGACGTAAAATCCTTTCTAGGTCTTATTTCCTACTATCGCAGATTTATTCCAGACTTTTCCATGTTAGCTAAACCCCTGACTTCACTTTTAAAAAAGAACACCTCATTCACCTGGAATAATGAACAGCAACTTGCATTCGAAACCTTGAAAGGTAAATTACTAACAGCTCCTATACTCTCTTATCCAGATTTTACCAAACCTTTTGTTCTCACTTGTGATGCATCGAAGTACGCCATTTCAGCAATTCTATCTCAAGGAGAAATAGGAAAAGACCGTCCCCTTGCATTTGCATCTCGTACTCTTAATAAAGCTGAAACAAATTACAGCACTACAGAAAAAGAATGTTTAGCAATAGTTTTTTGGTACTAAAATGTTTAGACCTTATCTTTATGGGAATACCTTCACCATTGTCACAGACCATAAACCCCTCCAATGGCTCTTTAACTGTAAGGATCCAGGATCCAGACTCGTAAGATGGAGACTGAAACTAGAAGAATATAATTACAATATAAAATATAAAAAAGGAAAAATTAACTCTAACGCTGATGCTCTTTCAAGATACCCAGTGAACCCAGTTTCAGTTTATACAAACGAAATGAATCCAGAAGCGCCGCAAGTTTCTGAACAAGAAACTATAAATATTGATAGAGATCTAGAAGAACTGCTAATTTCTCCACCTTCTTTCCGATTAGATGAAATTCTCTCTGATACAGAAGAGCAACTTAACTTACCTTCTCCAGAACGAGAAAGATCTAACTTACCTTCTCCAGAACGAGAAAGATCTAACTTACCCTCTCCAGAACGAGAAAGATCTAACTTACCTTCTCCAGAACAAGAAAGAATTAACTTACCTTCTCCAGAACAAGAAAGAATTAACTTACCTTCTTCAGAACAAGTTGACTTACCTTCTCAAGAACTTGCTGGTTCTCCGACTGCAGAGCCTATTGCTTCACCTGCTGTTGGACCCATTGACTTACCAAGTCGAGAAATAAGCCCATCTATTGATGACTATTCAACATTTCTCAAAGCAACATCTGAAAAAAATAGGAATTTTAATACACAAATTATAGAACATAACGAAAGTCTAATGAAATCTACTGTAAAAACTATAATAATTCCTACCTCAATAGACCTTGATGAATCTAATCCCTATATAGAAGAGATTTTAGGTAACCATGAAAATTCAAAAGAGATTGTAGAAGCAGAGAGACAGCTACATTCTTTCCAAATAATAGAATCAACCAATAAAACTTATCTTCTTCTTTTCACTAGAGTACACCATTTTGATGAGTCACGTTATGCTGAAATATTTAAAACTCTGGAAAATGCCAGAAATAGGTTATTAATATTTGAAAATATAAATGAAATAGCAATTTCAGATTTTAAAAATCCTTTTGAAAAACATTCATTACTAAGATATATAATATGCTAATGTATCTTTTCCATAATACTAATATAAAAATAAATATATATCATAATAACATAGTTTATCCTTCACCTACTGAATTAAAAAAGATATTACGTGATAATCACGATATACCCATTGCAGGACATCTTGGTTCTGTCCGCATGTATAACAGAATAAAAGACATGTATTATTGGAAAGGAATGCGAAAAGATGTAGAGATATATGTTAAAGCCTGTAAATCATGTCAAGAAAATAAAGCCTTAAGGAAAATAAACAGAGCACCTATGCAAATAACCAGCACTTCTACTGCTCCCTGGCAACGTCTTAGCTTAGATATAGTAGGACCACTTCCAGAATCTGGGACAGCTAAATTAAAATACATTCTCACACTTCAAGATGATCTTACTAAATTTTCTGTAGCTTACCCAATTCGTAGTACAACTGCAGAAGAGACAAGCGAATGTCTTCTTCATTTTATTGCTATTTTCGGAATTCCCAAAATGATCCTTACCGATCAAGGAACAAATTTTACATCGGAACTTTTT